ATGTCATCAACAGCAGATATGACATCATCATTGTGATACTCGTCCCTAGCCAAGTGATTTTTCATGTTGGGGAACAGATGATAGTTAGCAAGTTGCCATAGTACTCGCCATTGATAGTGTGGCCCTTTTGAAGATAGTCAATAAACACAATCTTTTTTTTATCCCAAAAACCTGAAGCCATCACCTTCCCTGTTGATGAAACAGCCTTGGCCTCCTTCAGAACCTATACTCATCTTGGGTTAGGAAACGTTCAAGGAAACCAGATTTTCCTGTGATGTGATCAGCCTGTGTGCTTTTGATCTGGTGTCAGAAGACGTGCAACTCACCAAGCTGAAACGTTCATCATGCAGAATATTCTCAACTCTCTGACGGGATATGCTAATAGCATTGACAATAAATCAAATAGACAATCACCTGTCATTGAACACCATATGGTGATCAATGTTTTCCTCTATGGTAGCAGCAGCAAGATGTTAAGACTTTGGGTCATCATCAAGACTCTCGCTTCCCCTCCTAAGTTCAGCTGCCCACTTTTGCACTGCTGATAAAACCAGTGCATCATCCCGTAACATAGCAGCCATATCAGCATGTTTGTTCTCTGGAGCTAAACTCTTTTCTGCAGGTACTTGATAACACCAAGGGTTCTGTCCACCCAATTTCCCCTATAAGGCTTGGGTCAACCCGTGGTATGTTTTTCAGGCACTTTCTAAAGATGTTGCATGCTGGGATTGCCTCCTCCAGACCAATAACATCAAGAAGTCACCTTCCTGACAGATTGGCCATGGTGTGATTTGAACCCAGGTCCTGTGGCCAGAAAGCAACAAACATTCAAACTACTTGGATACTCTCTCTCTCTCTCTCTATATATATATATATATATATATATATATATAAATATAAAAAAAAAAAAATATAAAATATATATATATAGACAGACAGACAGACAGACAGAGACACATGATTAATACATATAAAATTTGTCACTTAGTTGATTGGTTCAGCATGTTGACTCCAAAGTTTCGCAGACAAAACCTTTTTATAATTGTTCAGTCCACGTCAGAAGGTTTCAACAATTGCCTGCCATTTTTCACTTTTTTTTTTTTTTTTTTTTTTTTTTTTTTAAAAGCTTTATACGGAGTTTTAATGTAATTAATTTATAATATTTTTATAATCATTTCACCTCAAAGAGATAAAAGGGGTTATTAAGTATGAGAGAATATGAGAAAAATTAAATGTTATTAAGGAGAGAGAGAGAGAGAGAGAGAAATAAATGAACAGGAATTAAGAAGATAGAATATAATGATTGACATTGCAGATAAATTTTTGAAGATCAAAGTTGACTGGGAGACAGGAAACCAGAAGAGAGTTCCACAAGTGAGAAGTGTGAGATAAGAAGCTCTTAGCATAGAAACTAGTTACATTTCACCATTTCAACTGTAAAATGATGACACCTTGCCACCAATCTTGTAGTGCGTTTAAATTCATAAAGTCTAGATAGAATAAAGGAAAGTTCATTAGAACAATTTCAATGAAAGTATTTATAGAAAAAGTGCAAGGAAGCCATGTTATGTCAGTGGGAAAATAACTGAAGCTGAGATGCCAGGTCAGAACCAACAACATTGCAGTCTTTAGATTTTATCAAGAATCTCTAATATATAGCAGAAGCACTAGACCAGATGTGACAGCAATATTCAATGCATGAATGATTGGTAGTATTATAAGATTATATAGGTGCACATGCATGTGTATTTGTGTATTCAATGAAGATTTTACTCTGACTCTATACAAGGAACATTGTCTACCAGTAAAGTTTAGTTGAATCAGATAAAGCAGTTTTTGAGAGCAACTTAGTCCAATTTTGTCAGTTGATTCCTTTTAGCTTAAAAAAAAAAAAAAAATCCCTTTTGCTGTTCTCTAATAAATATCTTTAGTTTCTGTAATCCACTTTTGCAAATTAGAGACTGACACTTCCCATGCTATTTTGCTGCTATTTTTAGGCAAGCCTCTACTTTTCTGTAGTTTTTGGAAAGAAACAATTGTTGAATCCATGCTACCGACCTTAAAGCAGACTGGTTTAGCTTAAAAGAAGCTTATTTGATTAGAAAATGAAAAATGATGAAATTACAAGATATTTTTCTTTACTGACAATTAATTTTCTTCTTTATTCCAGTGATTCATTTTGTCTTCTGGATTTTTAACGAAGCCATTTGGTGTTCAATCAAGGGAGATAACCCACTGTTTTAGAGGGAAACATTTACATCTTGTCATTAAAATTGGCAGATGGACATTAAAAAAAAAAAAAAAAATCAACAAAACAAATGGACATTGTTTTTATACACTTATGAACCACGAATTATAAAACCTTGGTTAAAAAAAATAAAAAACATTAAATATAGGCTTTAGGAATTGGGGAAAGTAGAGATCAAATATTTCAATTAATATACTCCCCCCACCAATTGTTATCAACGGATTTTCAAGATCAGAACAATACAGACAAGTTTTTACTCTTTAGTTGGGCAGTGATTTAATGTTATTGTAAAGCAAAATTTTTTTTGGTTTTCCTTTTTTTAAATTGGACATTGAGCCTGAAAAAGACAATTTAAATAACATTAAAAAAAATGTCAAGTATAAGTCTGACAAAAGATTTCCGTTTTCTGAAATCAAATTTGTATTTTTTTTTTTTTTTTTTTGTTTATAAACATGACAAAGACAATTTTGACCAAGAAAGGATTCTAAAATAAATTGATATTTTGTCAGATTTTGGAAAGTGCGTTGCGCCAAGAACAGTTTAAATGTCATATATCTCTACAAAGAGTCAAAATTGTTAGAAAACAGATAATTTTTTGTTCATGTTAAAATGCATTGAAACATATTTTTTCTTGTTTGATGTTTATTTCAAATAAATTTTACAAAAAAATAAAAATAAAAATTCCTTTCAGCATTTTATCAAAAATTAGATAAATACGTTCCTTTTTTTTTTTTTTTAAAAAGTTAAACCTAAAAATCCAATCCAATCCAACCCAAAAGGAAATATTGTTGAATATTAATTTTGTGTCTGATTAAATATTCTATTTTCCAAGTTTGTTGAATTGAAATCATTTTCACATCTAAAGATCTTGATTGCTGTGGGACAATTCTGAAGCAACCGAAGATTCAACCAATCATTTTGATAAATGTTGTCTGAAATCTTTGTGATAAAGCATTTTCATTATTACATTATTTTAGACTGGTACTGTCGTTATTTCTAATGACAACATTTCAATGAATACATTTTGCCAACGTTATCACAGTCTGTAACTTAAATCTGGGAACCATTCCAATTGAGGGGAAAAAAAAACTGTCAATAATTCTGAATTCAACTTGTTTACATATCAAATAAAAAAAGATGTTTGTGGCCAACAAAATTTTTTGCCAACATTTTCAGTCTGCGTTTATTGAAAAAGACAATCAGAATCTAAGAAATGTTTAATTTTTTGGGGAAACAATAAAAACAAACATTATTATTAAATTAAGAGAAAAGATCTTTTGTGAAAATGTGGATATAATTTATTTGAATAAATTTGGTTTTCACTTGTTACAAGTAATCCAAAAGGTTGAGGTGCTATAAAAAAAAGGAAAAGATCCCATATATAAAAAAAAAAAAAAAAATGGTCCTTGTCTCTGTCCCCAGACCTTTTGGAAAATTTGGTTTTTCTTTACAAAAATTGATTTTTGCTTTGATGAATGGAAGGACTTTTGCAAATTGTTTTTTTTTTTAGGAAACAAAAGGTTTCACTTTGTTTATATTTACAGGTAAAAAGATAAAATTCCTCCTCATCTTGACTGAAACTGCTGTTGACAGAAGAAAAACAAGAAACCAAATTCTTTATTTTTTTCTTTTGGTTGGCATTCTTGTACTGGATTTTTTCATATTTTCTTAAAATGTTTCAAAACAAAATATTTTGACTCTTTCTTTATCCAGTCTGTGATGGGAACAACTAAGTTCCCCCAAATCTAAAACAAACTAAGTCATACCAAATAAATGAGGGTTGGTTTTTGTAAATGTCATTTTGAGTGCATGACTCTTGGTTCCAAATACAATCATTATGGATTGGATGGAGGATTTGCATTGTAAATGGATTTTTCTATTAAAAAAAAAAAAAAAAAAATTCCAAATAAATATTGTTTAGCAAATTCCTTTCAAAAATATAATCTTGTGGTCCTGAATATATTTAGATGTCTACCAAGGCTGGGTAGAAATCAATAAATGTCTTGAATAAGGCATAAAAATGAGACCATATTGGAGAGAAGGAAAAAAAAAATTAATAAATAGAAAAAAAAAAAAATTGTCTTTTCTCAGAACACAACCCAGGTTTTCTAAAATGGTAAAAGATACAAAATAATCATGTAGAAAGATTTAATAGACAAAATTTAAGTTTCAGAAAAGGCATAGTGGCTGTGTTTTTTAAAAAAAAAAAAAAAAAAAAGAAAGAAAGGAAATAGTCATTGATTTAGAGAAATTCACATCCCAGAAAAGAAATTATCTTTTGGGAACTGTGAAAATCTGACTTAGCCACTTTTTCTTTTTTTGTTAAAAAAAAAGTAGTAAATTATATAACTTGAATTTTTTAACTTAAGTTTTGTTAAATTCAGTTTTCGTCAGTGAAATTTTAGGTTTCATATGAAAAAAAACCCACTGTGCTTAAAAAGTTTTGCATGGCTCAAGAGAAGAAACTCCCTTATTTTGTGTGACCCCTGAGGTTATCAGCCATGATGCTATCCCTTCCCCTGCTTGTTAATTATCATCCATCATTTCAAGTGTTGTTCGTTGCAGTGTGCGTATTTGTGTCTGTCCAAAAAAAAAAAAAAAAAGAGCAATTGATTTTAAGAGTTGGGAGAAGCATATAAACTAACAGTTTGGAAATTGGTCCCCCCCCACCACCACTGTCCATGTTCAAAGGATAATTATTATTTTTTTAAAAGAATAAAAATAATAACCACCCTTTATCGAAACTATTATTTCAGGATGGACAAAAATCCTTTCTCATATTTTTCAATTTCAAATTCTTCTGTTTTAATTTTTCCAGCCTTTTGGGATTTTTTCCACCAATCGATGTGAATTCTACATTGATTTGTCGTCCGCCCAAGTGGGTATGGTGTAAACGTAAGCCAATCTGGATAAAAGTAAACAAAAAAATACATAAATAGATATGTTTGGAAGGATACAGACATAAAGAAGAAAAAAAAAAAAAGAAAGACCCCCCTCCCCACAAAACCTCAGAGAAGCTAAAGGAAACCTGAATAATGCAACAAAATTTTGTTAAGTCAGGGAACAAATTCTTTAATTGAAATTCTGTTATATTTATTCTAGAAGTAACTAATTTCTATAAAAAAAAAAAATTTGAGCACGTACACACAATCAAAACTTAAACTTACTTATGCAATGAAAACTGAATTGAATTTAAATATTTGTATTATTTTTCTCTTTTGGTTTAATAAGCAAAAAGAAAATTGTTTGTTCTTTCAATCTTTGGTTAAAAAAAAACTTTTGCCTTATTTGTTAAGGGTTCATTTATGTGTTATGTTTTTCTGCTTATCATAAATTCATTTGAAAATACAAACATGGAAAATTCAGTCATGATGTGATACAGGTAATTGTAAATCAAACCTTTTGATTAAGATTTTAAAAACTTCATTCGAATGTGCTAATATTAATTACATAGAAAATGTGCATTGAGCGCAATTGATAAAGTATGAACATGAAAATCAATAAGGATATTTATTTCCATGTAAAATTATTCAAATTCATTTAACCAAAATATAACATTGAGCATTCAGATTTCTAATTATCTCAACTATGGTGCCAGGGCTCAAAAATGAATGTCATCCTGGGAGAAAAAAATAAAACTTTAATTTGGAACACCTCAGAGTCAATAGAAAATTTTTAATCAAGATTTTATTATATTTATTCTTAAAATAAAAATCTACTCTTTTCACCAATAGCGGTAAGATTTTAATAAATATACAAAACACACACAAGGACAATAAACAAAACTTAAGCACTTCTTTTTAAACTGGTGAGTGAAACCTGAACAAAAATAAATGAAGGTTGCAGATTTAAATTTAGATATTTGTATTATTTCTAAACGTGAAAAAAATTAGGATCTAATTTTGTTTCAATAAGCAAAGCAAAAAATTTGAATGAACAAATATTTATGTGTTATGCTTTCTGCTCATCATAAATTAATTTGAAAATACAAATGAGAATTTTAAAAGTGATAAACACGGAAAATTTAGTCACGATGTGAGACAGGCAATCGTTGGAATGGGCTAAGATTCTTTATATAGACAATGAATGCATCAAGTATGATTTTTAAAGTTTGATAAAATAAAATCTGATCCTGGAAATAAGTTGGGATTATTCATTTTATTAAATTTTAATATTTTAACTTTAAATATTTGTTACAACCTGTACTTTTTTTTTTTTTTTTACTAATCACTCAAAACATGCCCAAGAGCCACTCAAGGTAGAGGGTTACTGTGTCGAGTTATATTAGTGTAGGAAAGGACAAGCGTCACAAGTATAAAGCTGAAGTAGACTTTACAAGGAACTGGAAACCCAATCTTAAAGCAGGAAACAAGGGATAAACCTCTATTCTTGTTTAAAAGGGGGAGGAGGAGGAGTGTGAATCAGATGATAAGCAAACCTATTAAAACATGCACTAAAAACAAATTTAAGATTGAATAGATTTCCTAAACATTTTAATAGGGTTTTTTTATTTATGCTATTAAGGAAAAAAAAAAAAAAACAACACTAGAACTTCAAGATGGTTTAAATATTTTTTAATTGTGGGTGTTGCTGATTAAAGTTCTTTTGTGAAATGGTTGTAGAACAAAAGACTGAAAAAGGTTAGCCTGGTTCCCTGTTACAAAGGGTTTCAAGTGCAGCCAAAACAAAATTCAAAAAGTTTTCCTTAAAATCTTGAAGGTGACTCCTGTGAAATCTTTTCTTTTACTTGAGCCTCAAACCCTGACTTCTGCAATAGTGGGGAAGAAGTAACCATTTTATCCATGAGGCAAGTTGGAATGAACAATACTTAAATTCAAATGTTTCAAGGTCTTGTTCCTCTTGAAAAACATTCTTTCAGCTTATTACAAGCAATTCAAATCTGACTGTTTTAGAACTTTTCAAAAACAGGAGCCATTTTTAACAGAAACAAGATTTTAAATTCTTTTCAGCAAAATCAGAAGTTATAAAAACAAATTTCACTATTTAAAAGTTAAAAGTAAAATTATAGAATTTGGCAGGAGAAAATGAATAAAATTAAAAAAAAATTTCAATGTGCATTTTATTCATATATAACAATGTTTTTCAAGCTTTTTTCACACTGGTTTAAAATCACTGATATATAACATTTTTCAATGCACAGATATTAGTTTGATTTTAGGCAAAACACACAGATTCTGAGTCAGAATTGTTGATGCCTATTATTTTTGATGGGTAGTGATACTAGCGAGAATACAAACAATTCAGAATGTTTAAATTTCTTTGTTTATCCACAATTCTTCTTCTAATTTGCACCAAACAACTCCAACAATGAATGAAAATGAAGTCTCTGCAACTAAGAAAAGAAATTGGGAGGAGGGAGGAGAGGAAGGAAGGGGGGGGAAAGAAAAAGAAAAAAAATACCTTGTGGCTGATTCTGTCTTTGAATTCAATATAAGCAAAACCCCTGCCTCTGTCTGTGCCTTTCTCTTTAGGAATTCGAATTTTTTTTACTCCTCCTGACAAAAGAAATCAAGAAAAAAAGTCTTCAGGAATAAAAATAAAAATGTTTTGAACAGCGTTTCTTTCAAATATTAGAACAAGAATCAACACTAATCATCTTGCAATGTTTGCACCAATTCCTGACCACTGACAATCCCTTCCTTCCTGATTCTCAATGCATTTCCAGAGTAAAATCCATTAGCAATGCATTTACATTATACATACTACAGCTATATTCCCTCAGTTCTTCATTTTTAATGCAAAATACACAAAATGAATCAAATTTCAAGTCAAAATCCAGTGTGCAATCACTCCCTCCCCAGAAGTGGGAGGTGGAGCAATGATAACGTCAGTGGGTAGCAATAAGCCAATTTCAATGAAATAAAACTGATTGTTTCTTATGTCCTTATCAGACTAAATATGAGATTTAAAAAAAAAAAAAATCCTCTTGGTCTGACTGAAAGCTTTTCAGCACAATTTTCATTGTACGAGTGCATTTCACTTTTTATACTAAAGTTGGCTCAATGCAAGGCTCAAAAGCCACTTAAGGTTGGAGGTTACTGGATGAAATATGTGATATTAATATAAGATGAGATGGCAAGTGAGGATAATGAGAATAGATAAAGATTAGCTGGCAATGTTTAACCTTCATACTTGTATTAAAAAGAAAAAAAAAAGAAAGTGTGTCAAGAGGATGGTTTTTCCCTTGACACGGCTATTATTTTAGCTACTTTCACTCCTGGCAATATTTTCAAAACATGTGAACCACGCACAATGCAATATTTATTATTTACCATGTCTGGAAAAAAATCATGTTTATTTAAATTTTATTGTTCTATACTTCATTGATGATATAAAATTATAAATATTGCATTGTAGTTGGTTCACATATTTTGAAAATATTGCCAGGAGTGAAGGTAGTTAAAATAACAGCAGTGTCAAGGGAAAAACCATCCTCTTGACAAGGAAGGATTCAACTCTGTGGACCTGGCATGGCATGCCTGAGCTGTAAAGGTCTGAATTAGTAGAACTATAGAATGGAGTCCATCTGAACATTTATCACGGAAATAGCAACAGAGTAGCAATAGGTATGTGATGTTGTATATATGGGGAAGAGGGTGCAGAGTAGAGAAAATGGTCATATTTTGAATCGAAGGCTGAAAAGTAAGGATTGAGATGCTTTGACCTTAGACATGGCAGCAGCAGCAGCAATCCCTCCATTTAGAGTGTCTAATCTGACACCTAGGAAGATAAAGCATGGCAGAAGAAGTCAGTTACTTTCTTGAGAAATAGAGTTGACCATTTTTTCAGGATCTTTAGCAGTGGAGCATATCTATGAATTCTACTTGAGACCCAACAGAGGCACAAAGCCTGGTGTCTCATTTTATACACACACACACACACAGAGTGGGGAAAAGCTGTGCACCATAGGGATAATTTAGTAAAACTACAATTACACATGACAATTTTATTTAATTGTTATCTGTGCTGCTCAAAATGAACTTTTTTTAAAAAGACATTTCAATTCTGTGCCCGCATGATTCATTAACACATCAGAGAGTTTCCGCTGAAATTTTACTGCATTCATATTTAATTCTTTCTTTAAGTTCCGCAATATTTCTTGGGTGCATCTGAAAAAATACTGATTTCAAATGGTCCCACAGAAAAAAAAATCCAAGACGATGAGGTCTGGTGATGTCGCTGGATACTAAACAGAACTTCTTTGACCTATCCATTTGTCAGGGAAATGATTAATTAATTAACCCCTATAGTGTGTGACTTGTCTCTCTCTCTATATATATAGACATATATATATAAAAAATATGTACATAGGAATAAAAACTTTACCAGTTTTTCTGAAATGTTCTTCAAGCTGTTCCTTAGTGACCGCATAAGGCAAATTGCCCACAAACACAACATAAGCTTTCTTTACTGGTTTGTTGTGTTTTGAAGTTGGACTGTTCACAGACACGCAACTATTGTTACGACTGTTATTTGGAGGAGTTGCCAAATTTATATTTGTGTGGGAAGACTGTTGGGACGTTGGAGTCATTGGCAATTTTTTCTTTTTCTCTTTCTTCTTTGCTGAATCCTTGGACCCTGATTTTTCCTTGGGGGGAAGAACAGTTTTGATGGACCGTGGAGAAGTCCGTTTACTTGGGAGTGAAGACCGGAATCCATCTGCACTGGGCTTTATCTCTGAGGCTCGTGTAGATCGACGAACTGGAGTGAAAAGAAAAAAGAAGTTGCATTACCAAAAAGACATTATGAAAATTTAGTCTGTTCTTAACTTATAGCCATGTTTAAGCTTTTTATTTCTAAGTTGTAGTCAAAATAAACCTTTTATCTCCTAATAAGCTACAGGTACAAAACTGTTTTTTTGTTACCTCTTTTAAAAGTTTATGAATAAGAAGAATTTCTGTTATGAGAAATTATAATATATATATGGATTTAGATGAGTGCCTTTATCTTGATTGTTATTATCTCCAAAACCTGGCTTTCATTGGGAAAGATTGTTTTTCACTTTCATTTCACTGCCAATTTGTGAGTTCTTATTTTTAGTACTGCTCAAGTTATCGCTTGCCCTTGTTTAGAGGAGAGTACAATAAGCCAAATGTAGATAAACCATTATTAAGCTGGACAAAAAAAAAAAAAAAAAAAGGACAAATAACCACAACATTCTACATGTGCGAACTTACTATTATGAAAAGAAAAAAAACAAACTTGCACCAATAAAAAAGTGCATATGGCAAAGAAAAAAAAGAAAAAAAAAAGAAGAACAATCAAGAAGTACAAACAGTCAATTACTGATACACCCTGATCTGGAGGGTCTGCCTATAAAATTCCGGAGTTGGGATTACCTGCAATCCTGAAATTTTGGATTCCCAAGTTTTCATTACAGCGATTGTTTTTGGCAATTTTTTTTTACATGATTCTTTTGCTATGAATTTTTTTGTACGATAATTTTTATAACTCGAAATTAATTGAAATTAATTGCGAAATCCAGCAAAAGTCACCCATAAAATAAAATTAATTGTTTGTACAGAAAGTAAGGACCTATGTACATCAAATTGTCTTTAAATTAAGTGGCGGTAGAAGAATTATCGTTGAACTTTTAAAAGGTAAGCTTAAATATTAAAGCAATACTTAAATGCAGCAATCAATTTTGAGTACTTCTGTATTTTATTCTTGCCTATCACCTGGGAAGGGTTAAATATCACTATAACAGTTCTTAATATAATCAAAAATGTATATATATATTATATATATATATATATATATATATATATATATATATATATATATATATATAACATCCTAGCAGAGCCTATAATTCATTGTTTTTTTTAAGAGTAAGTAGCAAATAAAGGTTAGGAAATGCAAACAGCTGTGTCCTTTTGTTGCCTCTTTTGACTAACAGTGAAGTTCATTCTGGCTGACATCTTCAAAAGGTTGCTTGGGTAAACCACAACAATGGAGATATATCCCACAGCTTGAAAAAAAATTAATTTGAAAGTAAGCAAAATTGACTAAGAAAAACTACTAAAAATCAAGATGAGATTTATTTTCATGTAATTATCCATGATTGTTGGAAAGTCTTCACCCCCCCCTACCAAAAAAAAAAAAAAATCCAGCCACAAGTCACATGACTGAACTCATTTTGTCATTAAAGGTTTAATGTGAACATTTAATTCTGAGTCATTCCTTAAAGTTCCTTCTGGCTTTTGGCCACTTTTCAAGAATTCCATAAAAATAAGATAAGAACTTACCATTCACATTTTCATTTTTCCATTTATTTGATTTCATTCTTGTCTTTTCTACCTGAAAATCAAAAAATAAAATAAAATAAAAAAAGGCATAAATATAGCAACCATGATAATTTCATCAAAGTCATTAATACAAAAATGTATCAATAATCAAATTTAGACATTAAACTGGTACCGCCACCCAAAAAAAAAAAAAAAAAAAAAAAAAATGCAAACACCCCCAATAAAAACAATACCCAAGGTTTAAAATGAATTTTAAAAATTAAATGTCTTAGTTTTAATTTCAATCTGATAGATTAAATGTCATATTTTCAAAAAGCAAAATACTTTGCTCTATTTCAAAAACTGAATTTAAAGAGATTTTTGCTAAAATAGCTGATTAGCACCCTTTTGTTAGTTGTCTTTCATCAGAATTTAAAATTCTTTCAAAAATAAAATGAACTTTTCTGAAACTTTATTTGAGGAATACTAGCTGCTTTAAAGTACAATTAATCTGATTTGAAACAAATATTATTTACTTTAAGTTTAAAGTATTGCAGAAATGCATTTTTTTTAACCTGACAGTAACTGTTTAAGGATTTGGGGTGTTGGCAAGTTAAACAGCTTGGTGACAGATTGATATTTATCTAATGTTGTTCTATAGGGGCTTTAGGGGTTAAAAATAGAATTGAATTAACATGAGGGCCTTTTATATATATAATTTTATGTACTCAATAATCTTTAAAATTTAAGAAAATATTCTCCCTAATCTAAGGTTTTATTGAATTTTAAATATTTTTGGCTGTAAATTTACTATTGTTGTTGCTCTTATTTTCTGATAATGTCCCTTATGGCCATCTGTATATAAAAAAAATGGTTCATTTATACACATAAAAAAAATTCTGAAAGTAAATGGTATTGCCGTTTGAAAAAAAAAAAAAAAAAAAAAAAAATCGGAAGGAGTCCAGCTTTTAACCAAGATAAATCTAAAGAGGGATAAATTTTAATTTCTGGAAATTTCATTAATTAAGTAAGACATATGATTTGTTTTTTTTACCAAGATTTTCTTAAAAAAAAAAAAAAATATAATCTATTTATGAATAAGACCTGAAAATTTAATAAAAATCCAATAGTTATTTTTTATTTTTGCAAGAATTTCCAACACTTCAGCAGCATGAATGTGCAGGGCAAACAGGTAAAACCAAAACAAAAGCAAGAAAATTAATTTTTTAATGACAGCTTTTATGATTAATTTCATTTTAATTATATACAAAAAAATGTGTTTTAACTATTTCACATTATAAAAATAAAGAAAAAAAGATATATATATATATATATATAAAAAATTAGGTTTCAAAATTTAATATTTTTTTATAACTCTGATATTCTGGGTAACCTAGAATGAATTTCGAAATGAACCCTTTATTTAAATATGCTGTAGGCTGTTTTCATTCCACTGCTCGTGTTTAGGTATATCTCATCTAGTTTTTCATTTTTAGTACTGCCCAGTTATGGCTCACCCTGATTCCACCAAGTCCAAGTCTGGCCCAAGGATTGAACTTATTTACTATGTCACCAAATTGATAAACTATCCACTGAGCTATTGTCCTGATGAATGATGAAGGGCACAATGGTCAAAATGTGATAACAACAACAAAGATGAGGACAATAGCCCCCCCCTCCATGTAAACAATGATTAGTCATTATCCCAGAAATTCAGACTGAAAGTATGAGACCGCCACCCTGAAACATTCTACACACAATGGAGTTGTGTATTCTTTGCCCCAAATTATCACCATTTTTCAACTTCTCTTTCTTTGAGAAGTATGTCTGCAGACATAACACTGTCTTTGGCTTGTTCTGCCAATTTTATTTGGCTGACCAATATTCCAGGAAATGGTGTAATCTGATGAAACCTTCAATAGCAAATGAATCATTTAGGCATGTATCTTTAATGAGTAATGCCTGTATCATTGGAAAAAGTCTTAATCATCAATTAACAATATCAGCTGATCTCCACTGAAACATCAATTGATTATACCCACTGTTTAAGGGTTAAACACCAGAAAAATATTTCACTTACAACCCCCCCACCCCGCATGCGTTCTGCTTGAGTTTTTTTTAAAGTATAGACTGGTGGCTGAAAGGTCTTGCTTAGTGTTACTTTGTCTATTGCTCTTTGCCATAACAATGACTATTTATGAAGTCTAGGAAAGTTGGTTCACTGTGTCGGGCTAGATAAATTTTTGCAACCAAATCTGCCTCACATTTATAAGTTAGCCATCCATGCAGTGAATATTTTGCTGTCACAGTGGATCTGGTGCTTCTGTTATGTATTTAGAGATTCTTGATAAAATCCAAAGTGAGAAGAAAGGACAATAAAAGAACAAGTTTCAGGAAGACAAAGGATGACGATTGACATTGCATTTAAATCTTTGAAGATTGTAGAAGAGAAGCAAGAAATTGGAAAAGGAATTCTGCAAACAAGAAAAGAAACTATTAGAACAGAACAGATGGTAGTATCTAGTTAGTTCAACAGTAAAACAATGAAACCTAATTGCCAATCTAGTAGCATGATTTCATTCATGCATTTGAGGCACCAAGGCGGAAAGCTCATCAGAACAATTACCATGAAAATATTTAAATTAAATAAGCCATGTCACGTCTGTGAGAAAGTGACTGAAATTGTACCAGATCAGGATCGATTACATTACAGACCCTTTTTTGAATTTTGTCAAGAATCTCAAAATATATAGTAGAAGCACTAGAACCAAATATGGCAGAAATATTTCATTTTTGGTCTAATCTAATTCTTGTAAAGGTAAAGCATGTCAGATGGATTCAAGTACTTTCTGGAGTGATAGAATGATCTGACCATTTTTCACAATAGACAACCTATGCGAGTGCTACTTGAAGTCTAACCCAATAGATATTAAGAAGCCGTTCATAATGACCGGAGAACACTGATTGCAGAAGGTATTCCCAAAGATTTTAAATCTGTCTCTAAAAAATCTTTTTTAAATGTTTACTTACACTAAATTTTAACAAACCTGGTTATAAAATTATTTTTTTTAAACTCATAAAATTATTTATTTTCTGAATTTTTAAGAAAAATTGTATAAAAGTTTCATAATCTTCATGAAAAGAGGTTAATTGTCATAACATCCACTCAGAAAGTAGTTAGTATAAATCAGTTTCATTTTTTACTTCGATACTATGAAATTGAAATTAAAAGAACTTTTTTTTTTATCTGCTAACAATTTTTGAGGGCGTTAAAAAAAAATTCCCATAAATTCGGACAGAAATTATATTGTTTCACAAAAAAAAGAAAGTCGAAAGCTCAATCAATACGTTTTAGTATCGAGTGGTCGATTTATCTGGAAGTTAAACTAAAAAAGACTGAGAAAAGGCTGAAAAATTCTCGGCTCCACCAACTTATTAGTCAGAAGTTCTGACCAAATAGATGAAATTTTTTTTGTTTAAAAAAAAAAAAAGAAAAAAAAAAAAAGAAAGAAAGAATTCTTTCATGGTCGGACCGAGAACTTTTCAGCACCATCTTACACACACACGCAAAAAAAACAACCAAAGTATTTTTTTTTGTCTGATAAGGAAGTTTAAATTTGAAAATAATTTTACGTCGAAACATTTTTTGAAATTATTGGAAAAAAAAAAAAAAAAAAAAAAAAGAAAAATAAATAAAAAATGAAAGAAAGAAAAATAATTACCATTTCATTTTTTTTGCGAATTAAAAAACAAAAAAAGTAAAAACGATCTCATATCACAATTAACACCTAAAATCATTTAAACAATATATGTTTATGTTAAAAAATCTGATAGTGAAACATTTTTTTTTTTTTACCGCAATTGGTTCAGAAAACAAGTAGGACAATATAGTTATCGAGTGACTATTATTATCAAAACAAAAATAGAATTATTGAGGTATAAAAAAAAGAAGCAATTGGAAATCTTTATGAAGATGAGACATCCAGAAAAAGAAACAAAATCAAATTTCTTTTGCTTGGATATTTTAGTAAGATTTTAATTTTAAGAACAAAGATTTTTTACGCCATATTTCATTAAAAAAGAAGAAAATCGTTGCAGTCATGGCAGGTGTGATCAGAATGAAATAATAAGAAAATTTAAAAAAAAAAAAAAAACAATTTATTAAATTATTAAATACATTTTAATTTAAAATCAAACCATTTTTTTTAACGTAGTATAAATTTCTCATTTAGTTTAAAAAAAAAAAAAAAAAAAAAAAAACTCACTGATGGAGAAAGAGCAGAAAAAAACCTCATTGTAAAAATTGCTTTGTAGGAATTTTTTTCTTTTTTTTAAAAGAAAAAAATACGCACCTTAAAGACAATAATAATAATAATTATTCACTTTCAAATGAAAAAAATTAATTTAAAGGAAGAAAGTGTAAAAAGGGTGGGGTTGATAAAAAAATAAAGTAGGAATTTATTTCTTAAACTAAACACCAAATTTTAAAATAATTTTATAAATTAAAAATTTTAGTTTAGTACTATAATTTTATTTTTAATTTAAAATAAAACTAGAATATTGAAAAAAAGCAGAAAATTGATTTTTGGTTAGCGGAAAGAAGAATTATTAATTAATTATAATTTTTAAAAATTAGTTTCAACTTAGATTTTTTTAAATTAAGGAACAAGGAGTCTTAATTTTTTTTTACTTGCAAAAGAATTAATAATATCAAAAGTAAATAAAAATACAGAACACAATATGAGGACATGCAAAAAAAAAAAGAAATGAAAATTTAGACTCTACAAATGATTTTTTTTAAATATTAAAAAAAAAAAATTCAACACAAAAAGTTTTTTAATTTTTGTCTTTAAAAATTTATTTTAATTCGCATTGTCTTCAACAAAGAGATTTTGTTATTATTGAAACAAAGGAAAATGCAAATTAATTTTTTATTAAAACATCTTTTGAAAATCAGTTTACTTACAAAACAAAAAGTGCTTTGAGTAAAATAAAAAAAAAACACACACACACACACGAAATAAATTCAACTAAAAAAAAAAAAATCATTTAAAAAAAGTCCTCCATACTTATTTTTTTAGAAATTAAATAAAAAAATTGATCATAAGAAAGTCTCCTAAAGCTAACAAATAAATAATAAATAAAACAAAAAATACATTATTTTATTTTAAATTAATTTATGTTCACAAAAGAATTGGCCACACAATAAAACAATAAACCGTCAAGAGTTGGGACAGTGACCGGTCATAAAGTGGGTGACCGATTTATACATTCCAAAACATTCAAAATTGCTCACCCATGTGGTCATTGAATTTATTTTCAAGGTAAGGATTCAAGTTGATCGTAAAGGGGGAGGATTATTTTAAAATGATAGAAGTCGACCACAAAGTCATTATTAATAATCTTGACGCCACAGAGTTGATAAATATGGTTGTCCCTCAACAAAACAGAGTTAAGAAGAAGTTCAAGTGCATGTAGAATTGAGCATCATCAACTAGGCACTTCAAGATGGAAGCTTACATTTCTTGGCTATCAGGTCAAGTGCGAGTCATAATTGAATCAGAAACGATTTTGCAGAAATGAAACAAAAACAAAAATCAATCAGCCGGAAAGGCAATTTTCCCTAAACCGAAACGTGAAAGTGATCAATGCGGTCATAAAGTAGGGGATCGATTTATATGAGGCGAGCTATTAAAAACTAATCCCCCATGTTTGACTAAAAAGTGAGTGATTAATAAGCCAATGCACCTATTATAAACAACACTGGACCTTTATTTTGTGTCCATCTTGTTGTGGAACAATTTACAAAAAACAACAACTAAGTCAGGTGAATCAGAAAATAAATATGTAAAGCCAAAAGCCGAATTATTCACGTTTTAAACACGATAAAAAATAAAACATCTTACCGTCTTCTTGGCCATCTTGACGCCGTAGAAATGTTATTATATGAAACACAACCGCCCCCTACATAAACTCGTGGTAGGGGAGGTAATTCTTGACCTGATTTCATTTTCTTTCTGATTAGTTTGTATGGCACAAGGCCAAAACTGAACATTATTTTTCAAAATACTTCATTATTTACTAAAAAAAAAAATAAGATAAAGTATTTTAGTTTTTAATCAGTACTTTCTTATCATTGGCAGCTAATTTTTTTTACTAAAGAATTAATATAACTATTTTTTTTTTCTGAATGAATATATTCATTTATTTATTGGGATTTTTAAAAAAATAAATAATTTTTTTCTTTTTTTTTATCTGATCTAACCTAATCATTTTTCTGAGTACTTTCAAAATAATATTAAACTCAAGCCCACAGGAGTCCATCTACCCATGCAGTACCTCACCTTTGAAAGAGGACTAGGTTCATTCCCCTGGTGCCTAGAGGACTTGAGCAAATTTTCCACAGTATTGATGTTAAACCCACTTTAAACCTTGACCTTGTGTCACATTCAGCAGCGAAGTGTGCTCACTAAAAAAATCCAGTTTAGTGGTAAAAAAAAATGGCTGTTAATAATGGAAAAATACACTTTCATTTTTAGAATTTTGGCTGAAATTATGCAAAGGTGGAGAAAAATACAAAATTTTACACAGAAGGTTAAAATTATTTTTGTAATGATAAAAACAGATATGTTAAAAGAAGAAAATCCATAACAAAATAAAAAAAATATTATGTAAAAGAGTAATATTGAAATGCAACATGATTAATAAAAAAGACTGCTTTATTATTGGTTCACTCGTCAGATCAAAATGTGCATGACTCTAAAGGAAAACCTAAGATCAAATATTAAGGAGAGAGAACAATAAAAGAACAATAAAAGAACAAGAATTAAAAAGTCAGAAGATAACGATTGACATTGCATTTAAATTTTTGAAAATGGCCAAACTCTAAAAATTCTAGGAAGTGGCATGCCAGTAACTCCACTTCTCAGAACAATCAGAACAATCATTTTTAATCATTTCACTAAGCAAGACAATAAAAAAGTCACTAAAACGCAAATAGTTACTGGGTGTGAAAGAATATGAAGAAAAAAGAAAAGAAAACATTATTAAAGAGAACAATAAAAGAACAGGAAATAAAAAAGACAGAAGATAACGATTGACATTGCATTTAAATTTTTGAAGATCAATATTGAATGGAAATAAAAACTGTTAGCATAGAATTTGTGATTACATCTAGTTATTTAAACTTTAAAATCAAGACCTTGCCGCCAACCTAGTACTAAGCTTAAACAACAAATCTCAGTGACCTCATCAATAAACAAAAATCCTTAGACATGACAAATAAAAACATGGCCAGCTTAGATATCAAATCCTTATACATACCCATCATCAAATGCCTAAAATTCTAATAAAGATATTTAAAAAAGTCAAAAATCAACCTCTCGCTACCAACAGACAAAATTAGAGGAATTTGTTATTTCATTACAGACCAATGCTATTTCTCTTTCAATGGAAATTTTTATAGACAGAAATTTGGACTATCGATGGGCTCATCACTTAGTGCAATACTGGCATGCCTCTTCCTAGAATTTTAAAAATCTAGCCACCCCTTTCAATGTATTTTTTGGAGATTAAAGTTGATTGGGAAGCAAAAAGCTGGAACATAGTTCTGCAAGTTCTAATGGATTAAAAAAAACAAATAAAAATAAAAAACATAATAAAAACATCTTACTATTTTGTTAAAAGAAGAAAATCTATTTAGCAGTGAAATGTGCTAACTAAAAAAATCCAGTTTAGTGACAAAAAAAAAAAAAAGCTGCTGATAATAGGAAAATATGATTAACATTGCATTTAAATTTTTGAAGATGGCCAAACACTAAAAATTCTAGAAAGTAGAATGCCAGTAACCCCACTTCCTCAGAACAATCAGCTTAGCACATATTAAAAAAATTCTTATAAAGATATTTAAAAAAGTAAAAAATCAACCTCTCGCTACTAATACAAAATTATATTGTAGTCCTCTGACATTCAACTTTTATTAATGACAAAGTCAAATACAACCTACGACAAGTCTACACAAAATTCACAAACACAAATTCTCTAATTTAAACACTTTATGAAACTAGTCTTTAAATGTATTTCTTGTTTATTGTCATTGTAATACTTCAGTTAATACATGCACTGTCATTTGTTTTATATTGTTTTTGCTTTACTCATTCATTACTTGGACTCACATTTGAGTCTGCAATAATTGTTATGGAAAAATAGTCCTGGAGACATGTTTTCTACATAATTGTTGGATTGCCTCCCCTTGATGATAATCATAGGTGGCAAGATTTTGGAATTACTGCCCCCTTACAATAATTACAGGTACTGTGAGATTTGAAAGATTCACTCTCTTTCTTGGTGATTTTTCATAGCAAAAAGACGTATTCTTTTTCCTCCCACAAAATGTAAACGTTGCTTTGGACTTTTCACATTTTCTCATCTTTTCTTTTATAAAATGTCCTGTCAATATATTTATTAATATTTCTTTCTTCAAATTCTGTCTTGCTTTTCCTTTGAACTTACACAAGTCCACCAAAAATTGTTAGCAGGCCAAAAGGAGCTTATAAAATCTCATCAAAAGTATGCTCACTACAACTCTTACATTAAGCAAGTTTGGCCACCCATCTTATAACACATCCAGTTCTAATTTCTTATTTTGTTAAATTCTTTCATGATCTCAAAAACTGGAAATCTATAATTTCAATTCTCTAGAAAAGCATTTAAGATTTTCATGTATTTTGTTTGAGTAATAGGAATTTTTTGACAGTTACATTTTTCAAATTTGTATCCTTAAAAACGTGCATATCCATTTACAAATGCTATTTACCTCGAGCTCCTTGATAAAATCCAAAGAATAAACAATATTATTGGTCCTCATCTGGTGGCTGAGTGTCAGTCAATTTTCCACTACTGTAAGGTTGCCTTTCTCTAACTTTTCTATAAATATAAATATTGCACTTCTTGTTTATGGAACTCCTTTCCAGCTCCATGTTTTCCAGCCAACTTTAATCTGTAAAAATTTAAATGCAATGTCAACCATTATCTACTCTCCTCCTGATTACTCTTTTCTGTTTCTGCTCAGTATTAATGATTCTGTTCCTAATTCTTTTACACCCTGTAACCTCTTGTATCTCAGTGGCTTTACTACCTTGCATGGGAGGATACGGATTTTAAAAAAAAAGAAGAAAAAAACGTGTCTATATTTTTTGGCTTTAAGTTGATTTTAACCACATTTTTTTTGAAGAAGGGTATTTTACATTAAGGATATATTATGTGGCAAGCGCCAAATCTTAGAATTCTCTTTCAAATACATAAAGAGTTGCTTCCAATCAAGCTCTGGAAATGAAAGGCACACTAAGCATGTGATTCTAGTGATCCAGAGAGATTCAGATATAGTGAGCTTCTTGAAAACTGGCCAAATGCAGAGAAAGAACAATTAATAAGTGATACTGCATGTACCCACCAAATTCATGTAGTCTATGAGGTCCTGGGGTTTGTGAGCAATAAGGTTTATATCATGTTGCCCTACATGGCCTTATGAAAGTGCTAGGTATGGCAGTCAAGCACCAGATCAAGGGAGGGACAAGGAGTGTTCTAGCAAGTTGGCTGAGAATTTTCATGTCATCCTTAACATGTGATGACTTGAATCCCTTGAAATACTGGGACGTCCTCAACAGAGTGACCAACCAGTGGTTCCATAATACCAAGGACTTGTTGAAAGCCACCTTTGCAGATGTGATGGCCAACATTGAGAACCATTTGATCCAGGCAAGCAATTGGTACTGATACTATACTAAGAGTTGTTTTATTGAATAACTTTATCTCCCTCACTTAAATAGAATATATAAAGTGTGTGTGTGTGTTCATCCCTAAGCATGAAAATGTATCAATATGTCTGTAGCCTGATGCAATTAGGAGTTGAAATTTGATCTGAAACTTTCATTGTATAACATTTGTTGAAAAATAATAGTGGAAAAAATTGTTTTTCATCATGAGGCTATAGGTTTGCTATATAATTATCAAGGTATATTTATTTATATATTTCCTGTCCCATCTGTTGTGGGGAAGAGGGGGGGGGAAATCAACTCAAGTTAGTAAATTTATGAGTGATTACTTCCCTTAAATATTTATATTATTAAAATGACGTATCTGCATTTTGAGAAAATTAGTTCCTGAGCAAAATAAACTGTTTAATTAATCAGTTCTTATACTCCTACATTTTTTAGATTGCTGTCTTATTTGTTCAAGTCTTTCATGTGAGGCACTCAGCTTTGTCTATTAAGTGATTGTCTTGATTCAACTTGGTCTTAACATAGGCTTTCTCTTTGCCATCTTGTTGCTAATCTTTTTCTTCCGAGAGATATCTCTATTTCAATGTTGTATTAAGCACATAAAATTTTTAGCATGAAAAGATACTGAGCAAAAATTGATTTATATAATACCAGGAGTAATCAATGAATTATAGATTCAATTGAACAGCTAAAAAAAACAAAGGTAACAGGTTAATTAAATGGTTCATTGGCTTCTATTTTAATTATGAATTCTTTATCTCTGCTTTATTGAATTTCAATACATTGTTTCAAGGCTTGTTTCATTGCATCTCATTATTAAAACTTTGTAACAAATGCTGTCAATTTTATGACATGGGTACACAATGTGTGTGTGTGTGTGTGTATATATACATATATATATATATATGCATAAAAATTTGTCACTTAGCTGATTGATGTTACCTTCAACATCCTGACTCCAGAGTTTCATAGACAGACCCATCCATCCACTCTTCAGGAGCTATCAGCAATTGACTGCTTATATCTCTTGATTTTTCTTTTTTATGCACTTATTGGTATAAGTTTTTTCCTTATTGTTTGTGTTCATGTGTCACTATGCAGCTGTCTGTCCGAATGTGCATTTGTGTGCCTGGCCGTGAGGGTTAATACGTTTTTGTCTATGTTCCTGTTTCGTAAATTGACAAACTTTTGTTCAAAAGTAATGAAAAAGGTATTGTTCTAGTTCTTGAAAAAGGTCACATGCAAATTGAAAATTTAATTTTACCATATTTGCAATTTGTTAATGATGTAATTGGATAGTACCTATGTATTTTTGAATGCATTTAACAGTTTATTTGTAAGCTATGATATAAACAAAAACAAGTCCCAGAAGTTTCCATAGTTCTTGAAGACAACAGGAAGTCATAGTACTACTATTCTTATATATAATTTAAGAAATTTTGTTGTGGGAGGGGGTGGCATTTAAAAAAAAAAAAAATAAACTGAATTAAACCCTTCATAATTTTTGAACAAAAGTTCATGAAGTTATGATACAAGAAATCAATTATTTACAAAATGTCCTTATATAAGAAATGAGGAATTTTGAATTTAAAGGAAGAAAAGTTTAACTGCAGTATATTGAAAGACAAAACCTGAAATTAATAATTAAAAAGTAGACAATGTCTCCATGTTGGAAATATTGTCTAAAACAAAATTTATTTTCGGAGATCACAGAAAAAAAAAAAATGTCTTCACTTATGCAAATCAATTACTGATCTGGCCTACCATTTTTAAAGAAGTGGATAATGACTTAATATTTATCCAGCATACTTGTGCCATCAAAATTGATTAAATAAATAAAATTGATATTTTGTTAAGCTTAAAAAACATACTTCTTAGCTCCTTTTTGTTTAAAAAAAAAATTTTCATCGATATTCTTGGGAAAGATAGTGGAGTAGTTTCTTGTTGCCTTCTTAAAAGTTTTAAATTTAGAATTGTCCTGCTGCATTGGTTGACAAAAGAAGCGAGAGAGCCCAATTTGCTGTACTGTTTTACCCATAGCCAAGATGGATATTTACTTTCTCAAGGGCATTAGCCATGCCTAGAATTACGACTTGTTTTGCTGATAACAATTACATCCGTATTATTCTTATGAAATTTTTACATGTAAGTTAGTAAATATTTTTCTGATAGTAACATTGAGCAAGAGAGTATGGAACAATGACCTTGAGCACCAAACTAAAAAGTATTTCAGGCATGTGTCCTTATTACCCTGCTTTGCAACAACAAAATCCTGGATGACATACACCAGACATGAAAACCACATGCAAAACTATTATGTCTATGGCATATCCTTGGTATTACATAGATTGATAAAATTACCAACACTGTTGTGCTGGCATAAGCTGACTCTTGGAACATGTATTTCCTCTGTCAGTGTTGTCTTCAATGGCTGGGTCACATACATCATGTACAGTAGAGGCCACAGAAGACCTGATGGACAATGTTTCAAGGAGGTCTGCAAGGACGGTAGGTGGGGGTAGTCTGAAACTCACAGGTAGTTAGAGCAGCTAGTAAATGATGGCAATCATGACAGATGAGAAAAAGTGAAAGCAACAGCTGGAGTCTGAAGATGAGGCAGGAAACAGAGGAAGAAATCTCAGACATTTATTCCACATTTGTCTGCCACACCTGTAGAAGAGACTGCCATGCAAAGATCAGTCTGCTATGTCACTTTAGTTACTGCTCAAAACAGGGCGCCACACTTATCTTGCAAGATAGATGACTGTCTACTGCTCTGTGAAAGAACTGAGTCTGTTTCACCTCACTGTTCTTATAAACCAATACTTACCTGGATTCTGCAGGGAAAGTTGAAATTAATATTAGTTCAAGCCCCAGGGAACAAACCTTGCCAGGCAGTACTTTCTCTTCAGGAGGGGGCTGGGGTCATTACCTGGATGTTGTGGCAGCATGAGGGGGTTTGAGCAATTTTTCCACTTTAAACCGAGATCTTGTGTCACATTTGGTAGTCACGTGGGCACATTGAAAAGTTAATCTGGCTTTGTAAACATTTTGGAACAGAGAGCCATTATAAGGAGATAAATCTAGTACAGCAAAAAAAAGTTACAAACCAATATCCTTGGAATCTTCATGTTTTATCATAAATTGGAAAAGCAAAAATAAAATTTACCTTACGACAAAGGAAGTTCAGGTCAGGATATCTTTTTCTCTATCTCGATTTTTTATTTTTTATCTAAGAAAGAATCACACAATCTAAATATGCAAGTAAAACAGTGGAATGGTTTACTGACTGACTGGCACACAACTGAAAACTTTCATGCCATATTTTTGATCAATCCTTTTAAACTTTGCAATATTGGTAAAAGATTCTTGCAACATTTTAACATCTCTTTATGTAAAATTAGTTTTTCCTGGCCATATTTTTCTGAGGTTACATGACTCAAGTGAGGATGTGTAGGTGGTGTGATGGATAGAAGTTCGGAATGAAAATTTTGAGAGCCAAGATTGAATTCCAGTCAGCTTTGTTGCATTCACTAACATGCAAATACTTCTGGAAAAAGTATGAATCCATTTCTCCCTCCAGCTATGGGTTTAATAGTAGGGCTTGTATCTGGAAAAAAAAATTGCCCCCCCCCATAGTTAAGGCAATATTCACTCGGCAGAAAAAAAGAATTCTTACAATTTTAAATGTGTTTTGGCTTTAAACAAGAACAAAAAAAAAAACAAACAACAAATCAATCCTTGAATAGAGCAGAAAAAATTGTAAGTTTTGTAGAACCAGACATTTGTATTCTTGTATAATCAACTTAATAGGAATTTGTCAGCTTTGATTGTCTAATGTAAATAGGGATGTGTGGAGGTCTAAGGGTCAGCAACTCGGAATAAGAAAAAAAGAGTTAGATTTCTAGTCAAGTTTGCTAAGCACACACACACACCCCTTTGAGGAAAGGTATGAATCTATCCCTTCTATCCCCAGCTATGGATAAATAGCAGGACAGACTAGGCCCTATCACCAGCCTATAAGGAAAACCTGCCTGGAGAGGGTTTGGCGTCATCAGGCTATCTTGCTCTAGACACACCACAGCTTCTATGGCTACAGTACATGTGGTGCTCCTATGACTAATGAGTTATAGGACCTGTAATCTTGAATAGAACACAAAATATCTTTATGTGGTCTTTATTAAAAGATCAGCCTTTTGGTTGAGAAGCATTAAGTCCAGTCCCAGGGAAAAGGCACTGGAGATATCTTTAAAAGGGGGAAATGCTGAGGAGGTTGGACTATTATAATTATAAAAGTTTACAGTGAAAGAGAGACTATCTTGTGAGACAATTACAAATCATTTTTTTTCAATGTATGAGAAGGTGCTGAAAGGTTTTGGTTGGATCAAGAAGGGATATGTGATCGTATTGTCTGATGTTTCGGGAGGAGGCAATGTATTTTTTGATATGTTAATATTTTACTCATAAATCTGAACAAATAACAAAAGAGGCTTCTTTTTGTGAATTCACGTGAAATAGTTTTTTTTTTCTTTGTAATACTGCAAATTCCTTTCTATTTAAAGGAACTGAGTGGTAACTGGAAAATATTATGCTACTCTAGTAAACAGATTGAAACTTTCTTTTTCTTACTAAGACAATGATCACCTGTGCTCCACCTCCTCCTTCCTCAAGATCAACAATTAGTACTATGCAGCCAGTCATTTTGGTGATTGGCCCACTGTCAAAATAAAACATTTCATGCCCTGGAAAGGACTCATGTCAAAGACAGTGCAACCGTCTTGAGATCAGGAATTACCAAAACAAACTTTATCTGCAGTGGCTTCAATAATGAAAATGGTATAGGTATTGTGACATGATATGGCAAATACCTGTAGAACAAAATTCACATATGGGCTAAATTGTTTCAGCAAATAAAATATAGCTGTTCATGTGTCCAATTTTGTACTAGCCATTTGCTACTTTTCCTTTCAAATTGGTTCCATTGGACAAGCCGTCCAGTGGAGCCAATTTGAAAGTTCTGAAATGGTGAAAATTTACACCAAATGCCCAGTGATAGTGAACTGGCAAATATTAATATAACATTCAAAAACACGATAATGGACAGAAAAATTGAAAGAATTAAGAAAATATAGCATCAATTTTGCTTTTGGTTGAAACAAGAAAATATTTACATTTACTGATGATTTGGTTGCCAAAATTTACTTTCCTGGCAAAAATAATCTGATCTTATTTATTTTTTTTTTTTTGCCACAGAAAGTTTGTGAAAAGTTAAAATGAATTGTCATATTATACAAGAATTATGTGATTGATATGAAATGAATAATGTAGAAAGTAAAAGTAGAAAAAGTAATATTAAAAAAGACAAAGTCAAATGTAGTTTGTCTCCTGCACATATGGCAATAAAACATTTATTGGACAGCATTGACTTTTCTTCAGCAGTTTCAGCAAGAGAGTGTCAAGTGGTAGGGGAAGAAAAGATTAAAAACTCTTTGGTGGAGGCTTTTTAAAAATAAATGAAAAGAAGGACAGGGAGAGGGGAATTTGTTTACAAATAATGGCTGTCAATTGCATGAGAAACAGAATTGTTTGTTTCTCTTGAAATTTGGATGATCTTAGTTTTGGAAAGCTTTATGAAAAAAAAACTTGCAAACAAAATTGTTGTAATGAAAACTTTTTTTTTTTTTTTTTTTATAGATTTTTCAAATTCAAAACTGGTATTTTGGAATTGAAATAAAACCTTTTCCATGGTTTTTCTCAGCTCTTATCACACACATTATTATATATATATATATATATATATATATATATATATATATATATATATATATATAGTATATTATTATTTTTCTTAAAGTACTTTTTTGCCATCAACCACAGCCACAAAGTATGTTGTTATGGGTGGCTTGTTAAAGCTTACCAATTAAAAAAAGAAAGAAAGAAAGAATAAAAAATGAAAATCTGAAGTTGTTTAAACATTTATGGACTTATGAATTGGGCTAAATATGTTCAGGATGGTTCTTGAGACAGTCAATAAAAGTATCCACAGGATATTCTCCCTGGCACATACGGTGGACGGAAGTAAACAATGGAAACCTATGGGAAGAGGTAAAAAGAAAAAAGATAAAGAAAAATTAGATTAATATCAAATATACACACGGAGCATATACTTTTGTTTAGTGACACACACACACACACACAATAAAAACGTGAATACGATGAGGACTGGATACAAGGGAAGTAATCCTGTAATCCAGAGGAATTTTCTATCATCTTCATCATATCTAGGAAGTGTTTTAACAGAGGACGGAAAATGCAATACTGAAAGCCAAAGGTGCATTGGGACAATACTTCCAAAAGTATTAAGAAACAGGAAAATCTAATTTGAAACAAAGAAAATAGTAATGAACTGTTATGTAGTATCAGTTCACCTCTATGGCAGTGAATGCTGAACAATCTCATCACAGATGAAGAGGAAACTTGAAGTAACAGAAATGTGGTTCTACAGAAGGATGCTGAGGATACCATGAACTGAATATGTGAGCAATATGGGAGTGAAATGGAAACAAAACGGATACTTATCATTTGAAAGAGATAATTGAAATTTCTAGGGTACATAATGAGGAAAGAGGGCTTGGAAAATTTGATACTCATGGGACAGAGGAAAACAATGCATAACCTACCTAATGAATTTGTGTGAATGGTTGACAGAACATGGATTAGGAGAGATAACAAAAAGACATTTTATTAAGAGCTACAAAGGACTGGAAATTCTGAAAAACCATGATTGCCTATGCCCTGAAGAGAGATGGTGCATAGAAAAACTACTACAGTATAGATGATATTCAAAGGAAACGAATGCATTTTTTAGCATAAAATTTTAATAGCTACAGGATTATGATAATCAAGAATGTTGTAAATAGCAAATTTAAATTTACCTCTCAACAAAAAAATTCCTTGAATCATAGTTTAAAAAAAAAAACACAAAAAAGTGATTCAGTTCATAAACTTTTCATACTAAGTCATCATGTCATTATATTACAAATTAAATAATTCCAACCATATAGATGCTAGAAGTGAAGCTAAATTAATAACCACCTCAACCTTTTTAGAAATGGAAATGAAAAATTGAACTTATATAGAGAATGAAAATAATAAAATTATATCTTAGAGTGGCTTTATTGATTTTCTGTGTTTCATTTTAAGGCATACATGTTTTTTTTTGTTGTTGAGGCAGGAACAAGATTAATCTTGTTGTCATAATGATTTGAGGCAAGATTTTACAAAACCAGATGCTCTTCATGACACCAAACTCAGACAGGGTGTTTTTATTGAAAAACCATCTCTGGGAAGCTTGTCATTCAATGTTTCAGACACCACCATAACTCTATATATATATATATATATATATATATATATATATATATATATATATATATATAAAGAGAGTGTTCACTTTGTTTCCATTTTTTCCAAAACTTTGTCGTTGTTTATATGTTCAGTCTATGGTATCCTCAGCATCCTTCTGTAGAATCACATAAGCTCATCTACTCTTTGATAGGTCATGTTTTTTGTCCTGTGGGGGTGACATGCCACCCTCTTCATGAGCAGGAAAGCTAGTAAGAGAGCTGGTTTAAATGTCAACCACCTGTACTGAGTTACATGTTACCAGTAGCAGACCCAAGCCTGACCTGATGTGTAGGTACGGCATTTTAAAGCAATAAATTGTACAGGATTTACACCAAGTCTATTTAGCATTTGTGTATGTAATATCATTGAAGAATTTACATTTTTTTCCTCAGTAAATCTCAGCATCTTCATTGTATGAGAGTATGGAAAATATTAAAAATGTAAAATCTTTAATTTTAATGTAAAACAGCCTGAAACTTTAAATGAGCTTTAGAAAGCTTTTACTATTCATGCATGTAAATGAATTTTATTTTACCTATATAGAGAAAGTTGTCTAATTACTTACTCTTCTTCCATGTTCTTGACTTTCAACATATGATTCACTTCAGCAGCTGTTGCTGGCCCTTGCAGTTTTTGTCCATTCAACATTTCCTTTTCAAGTTGCTCAATAGACTGAAATGAGATTAACGCAGAAGGATTTATTATTACTAACAAGGAAATTGGTCTTTGAAAAGTTATCAAATTATTACACAACTCTGCAAAACAGGCATTAAGTAGAGAATGAAAGAGATTTCTATAGTAGCTATTAATTAGAGCCACATTAATAAGCTGTATTACCGGTCCACTTGTTATATTTGCATGCATGTTTCATATATTAATTGAAACAAATGGAACAGAAGTACCATAATAATTCACTTATAAATAAATATTTAACCAGAGTATTTGTCATTTACAGTTAGCAGTCATATTTTATTAACCAAATAGAATTATAAAAGTTTTGCCATTGCAAAAAAAAAAAAAAAAAAAATTTAATATCTGTTTATTTATTTATTATTTTAATAAATCAAAATATATCTTTTATCTTTAATTATTTCCCTTTTAAATGACATGGTAGTGAGAGTAAATGCTTGAAGACATAAAATGTTAATGGAACAAAACAATATAGAAGTTACTTTGCCAGTTTTAGCAAATGCTTCGCCAACTTTTCTGTTACGTCCACCATAACATGTTGTTATTAAATCAGCTACTCCACAACTTTCTAGGAAGGTTGCCATCATTGAATCTAAAAAACAAAGGATATTTTAAAATTTATATTTGAAAAGAAATATTCAACAAAAACAAGAGCATACCCCCTGCCCCCAAGTATCAGAAACAGCTATTAAATTTAAAGAAATACAGAGAGTTGATATATTATTCAAGTATTGATAAACTGACAATCTTGAAGAAATTGAATGTTAGATCACTTGTGTAACTTTTGACCCCTTTGAGATGGTTTTTGCCAGTAATTGTCTCTTGATATTGTCCAAGTCAACACAACTTTAATTGCTGCAACCAGAGAGCGTACTAATGTCACAAAATCAAGATTGCGATTGTATAGATCAAAGTTAAATTAACCTTCTGCCCATCTGTTAATTCACAGAAAATGATCAAATAAATGTTTTAACATAAAAATAAAACTACAATGGATTTCAGATTGCCATTAAAACAACAAAAATGATAAAAGCTTACATTTAAAAAACCTAAAAATATCTCATGAAGCAAGCAAACTCAATATTACTGATATAGTAATACAAATGACAAAAAAACAAACTGTTCTCTCTGTTTTAAATGCTTAATATTCTTACCACCTTGTTCATTTTGGTTGTTATACTCACAACATTTTGAGGAAGAAAGGGCAGAAAAAATGTACAGAATCAAGACATACAATCACACCACTTTTTTTTTCTTTAATTATTTCCCCATGAAGATGCCAGTGGTTACTGAGAGCGAAAGAAAATAAGAAGACCTTAGTGATGAGAAATAAAAGAACAGGATTCAGGAAAAGAGAAAATGGTGATTGGTGTTGCATTTAAATTTTTGAAGATCATTGGTAACAGGGAAGCAAGAAACTGGAAGCGAGTTCCACAGGTGAGAAGTATGAGAAAAGAAACCATTAAAATAGAACTTATGGTTACATTTAGCTATTTCAACAGTAAGACTATGAGACCTAATAACCAATCTAGTAGTACTCTTAAACTCATGTGGTTGATGTAGCAAGAACAATTGCCATGAAGATATTTATAGAAAAGACACAGGGAAACAACATTACGATTGAAGTTGAGATGCCAGGGCATGGCCAATAACATTGTAGACCATTTGGATTTTATCAAGAATCTAGAGATATATAGTATGATCACCAGACCAGATTATAGCAGCAATATTTAATGTACAGATGAATGGTTGATTTATAAATGTACAAGATGGATTCTGGTGAGAAAAATTGTCTGACATGACACAGTGAATCAACTTTCATAGCAGCAGACCTAGGAATTGATTCAATATAATCTTTCCATTTCATGTCAGTGGAAAGTGTAAAACTGATTGAAAGTCCTTTTTGAGATCAGCTGCCAGTTTTATTTTATCAGAAATATTGTACTTACTCATCAGCATAAATATTGAGTTGAGAACTGATGGCATCAGGAAGGTCGTTGATGAAGATAAAGTAGGTCCAAGGATAGAATCCTGAAAGGATCTACAAGAGTGGCAATCTAAGATGATTTTTATTACACAAGTTGTTAAGATTGGATTAAATCAAAAATTTAGCCAGAGACATCATAGCCCTTGAGCTTGTGAAGAATATCAGCATGTCAAAATCAGTCAAACATCTTAGAGATATCTAAAGCAGCAGCAGCCCAAGCTTTGCCGTTGTTATGACTTGACAGACTTTTTCAATAATAACTAAGTAAATAACTAAATAAGTTAAGCTGATGTGTGCAGTTGACCTAGAGAAGCAAAAACTATATTGTTTGTTCGAAAGAAGGCTGTGCAAAGTGAGATGCTTAACTAATCCATTGTTGATTACAGCCTCTTGTACTTTAACAAAAAGAGGTAGAAAACTAACAGGTTGATAATTCTAGATTTCACCAGAGTTCTTAAAAGCAGAAGAGAATTGGAAAGCAAAAAGTATCAAGACATTTGTTGTAGAGTTTAGAGAGAACAAGAGGCCAGTTCAGGAGTACATTTCTTTATGACAATTACAGGAATACCATCAAGTCCAAAACCGTTGTGGGAATCTAGTTTGGAGATTACAGTAGAAACCATGGATACAGTTATATGCATATCATGCAAATTCAGTTCCTGGTAAAAAATCAGGCAAAGATACTCGGGATAAGAAAATAGGAGTTGGAAGAGATTTTATGACCAAAATATTCTGCTTTATCTGAATTAAATGACAATTCAAACTGACTGAAAGGATGAGAGACTGAGGATTTACTCTTGTTTAACACTTTTACAGAGCTGCCAGCTGCCTGGGACCTCAGGGAGTTTACTCAGAAGAAAGAAAAAGGAAGAGGAAAGAGACTGCTAACTGGATGATAATTGTTGAAATTCTCAGGAAAGTGGATTGAAAAGTTAAGAAAATTAAAAATGAAATGTGTTAAAACTTATGTTTTAAAATAATAAAATGAACTCAAGAACAGTTCTAAGGAGAATCAAACTCAAATTTAACGAGACGGAATTCAGTAAAATTGAACAAAACCAAGACTACCAGTCTTTCCCCATTTCCTGCAAATAAGAAAGAGACAATGAATCATTGAAGATGTCAGTCCTGGAAAATAGAAAAGCACATTGTTGGTAAAATTGTTTTGGACAAAGAGCCAGGAAAAACACCTGGTTTGTGTCAGCCACCCAGAAGAAAAATAACCCTACAAAAATAAAACCTAAGATTGCGAATGGGTTTGTTTATTTTAATTTCTGTGACAATCATCAAAATTTTCATAGCAGATATTATTTTGGATTTTTTTGGAGACAAGCTGATAAAGAAAGATTAATTACTCGCCCCGGAGTGACCATATGCCACAGACTGTGTGATTGACCAAGAAACACACGAACAAAGAAAGAATTGATATGGTCAAGTCTCTAGCTAAAACAACAAGCTGATAAAAATTAATTAATTACTGGAAATCCCCTTTTTGCCTATGCATTCTAAAAGTTTAGATTTGTCACAAAAACAGTTCTACTAGTCTTTGGAAATGTGTTGAGGTTGGATGCTGAAAAGGTGGGAGAAAGCAAGAGATTAGCACTGTCTTTATGGTGTGATGGTGTGAGATGAAAGTAGTTGTAGTTAAGGAGCAGCTTTATCCCTTTAACCACTCTCAAAAGAGGGCTGTACAACCCCTAAATATGAAAAATTATTCAAACATATTTTGAAAAAAAAATGGGATTTTAGAAAAAGGTTGATGCTAAGGGTGGGAGATAATCGAACCACAGACCCTGGTCATCCCCACACCTTATAGACACAGGACTCCATATAAGCTGGAGGTTTGAACAACTTAGAGAATCCCCACATTACTGCTACTAGAATCCACATAATTCGCCGATACCTCCTGATCAAGACCTTGTTCCAGCCCTGAAGACCAAAACTTAGAAATTTAAATTACTACTAACACAGGCTGTAAACTCCAAAAAGGGGGTCCCAGAGTCATTTGATTATAACAGAAGTGGGAAGGATTAAAACTGTTGTATACAACAAATCATATATAAACCAAATTGTTACATTTTTAACCAGAGTTAATTCTTTGTTCCAAAGAATTCTTTTTTGTGTAGCTCCTTGCTACTTCATTTCAGTGATCTTCTCACTGTCAGATCAAAAGCACAATGTGGCAGAGGAATGGTCGTGAAGCAGACGAATGTCAGCTAGATCAAGTGTAACTGTGCTCATCATCACAATACCAGCGACAAACTAGCATTGCACTAACAAGTGAGGAGTCAGCTAGATGGTAACCATGGTGGTCTGAAGGAACTTGAAGACCAATGCGATGAGAGAGCGCGTTACAATATTATTAGTGACAAGCAATACAGCAATCTGACAAGAAAATATGGTTAGAAATAAGAGATTCTCTGGCCAAACTCTCAAAAGATAAATGTTGAGTAATTAAACAAGAGAAAAAGCAAAGTAAATTTGTTACTAAAACATTTGTTGGAATGATGCAATATAGTTTGAAGCAATTCACTTCTTTGTGCCAATAGTTGGTTGTTGCAATCAGACATTGACGTTAACTGAGATCATCAAACAGTTGTTTTTTTTTTAACTTTAAGTATCATTCTATTTTGCATATTTTTTTTCCCTAATAAACAGAAAAGGGATATAAGGATGAAAAGTTATCTTTAACAAAATACTCACTGCTGTAAAACACTTTACAGAATTTAATCATTTCCATGAGACCTAAGCGTATGATAGCTGCCTTTGTATTATCACCATAACCTTGACCATCACTTATACCAGCACCAACAGCAACAATATTCTGTTAAAGAAAAAGTTAAAAATCAAAATGGCAACACATGTAATAAAACAGAATTTATCAATTTTGGGCTATTTTATTTTTTCATTTTATGAAAAAATAAAAACTTCATTGAAAAAATTCAGCCAACTTAAAATCTATCAGGCGTGGCATATACATTTACCCATTATTCATTTTGACATAAAAGGTTTTAAGTTTTGGTTAATGAAAGGTTAAAGGTTGATTTATATTTTTTAAACAATATTTTACATTTAATTATATTTATTATTCAAAATGACCACCCTTTGCTTTTACTATAATCTCATCTCAAGTGAAGCACTTCTTCACCACCTCTTTGTTTAAATTGTATCACAATAAGTCATAAGAGCTTCTTTCAGGTGTGACAGTGTATAGGATTAATGTCAGGGCTTGATGGAGGTCAAATTGACTTGTTAAAGAATCCATGGGAATTTCTCTTCTACCAGTTTTGCGTCAAATTGGCTGTGTGTGTGTGGGAGTTCCATCTTGAGTGAAGATATAACAACTTCCAAATGGGGTTGACAACTAAGACAACACATCTCTCTTCCCAAGATATGCTGGTAAACTGCTATTTACTTTCACCCCTTCTTCATTGAACACCCACCCAGGGGCAATTTCAAATCATCAGAAGTAACTGCAGCCCAAACCATGACACCGGTTGGTTTCTGTTGCTTGAAATGTGTTCTGACACCTTTGGGAATGTTTGCTGGTGAAGTGGTGTAAATCTTATCATTTTGGTAGTTGACCACAGCCTCCTCAAGGAAAAACTTCTTATCTAGCCAAATGAAGACTTTGTCTGTGGCATGCTGCATCTCCTCTAACATTGCCCCCCCCCCTGTCAAATCAATTTTGCTTGGAGGCACTGGAGATCAGCTGTCATCAGTGAATCTAGTATGATTTTCATCCTAAATCCTTTTTCACAATCCTCCTTGGTAAACTATCCAAAATGTTTAGCTCTTTTGCCATCTTCCTCATATTTCTTTATAGATTTCTTTTTACCTTCTTCTTGACGGCTTCAATGACTTTTAGTACAAACTGAACAGTGTCTTCCCAGAATTGAATCTGCTATGTTTGCTCCTCTTGAAACTTTTTCCACACATTAAAAATAGTTTTTCTGCGAACATTGAAATATTTTATCACTTCACACTTCTTCATATCAGTCATTTTCAATGCAACAATTTCATCAGGTTTTGTTTGAGCTGCCATATTTAATTAAACTGTAAACAATAAAACAAAAGACTGTTAGGAAGTTTTGTGCCAAATTTGAAATTATTTTTTATGAATTGGTATGTTTCAATTTATATCTAAATAATAGGTAAATATTTATGCTACACTCAGTAAATTCTCAAATAAAAAAGGACAGCCCTTACCCAATTATAATCAGTTTCAAATCATGACCTGTGGATGACAAATACTAGCAGAGTTTAGAATCATTAGATTTAATACCATGAAAAGTTTCCCCTTTATCATATTGTGTACATTCATGTTGTAACCTAGGAAGGGTTACTGAATGAGGAATAACCAAAATGGTAATCTTTATAACATCAACAAAATAAAATACTCCCCAGCGGCATGAAGTAGGTAAACCACAGCTAGTGGTGGACTACTTAGACAGCATATTACCCCCCCACTTACAATAGTGTCCAACGTATTTATGAGGATTGGGACATGCCTATTAGTGTTCATAGGTACAGTATATAACACTTCATCTGTTTTTAATTTTATTTTTTATATATATATATATATATATATATATATATATATATATATATATATATATATATATCTCAAAACATATGAAGCCAAATTTTATAAATAATTTTTTTTTTTAATTTGTTTTCTCTGGCTTAACCTTTTGCAGGTTATTTAAAGCCAGAAAATATTTTTAGATTGTAAGAATTTTGTTTTGGGAGATAATGATTTAATGATACAAGTCTTATTAATTAACCCATAGCTGGGGGGAGAAGAGGTGGATTCATACCTTTCACAAGGATATTTGCATGTAAGTGAATATAATGAACCTAATGGCACTTGGGACTAAACTCTCCAATTAACAATTACAAGCCATTATCCATTACACCACCTGCACATCTACGCTTATAACACCTGGTATTCCCAAGCACTCACCCATCTAGATACTGACCAGGCTTGACATTGCTTAACTTTGGTGATTGTATGGAAACCAGTGTTTCATTGTGATGTGGCCTTTTATAAATAAGAATGCACAATCAAAATTGAATGTTAAAAGCAATTTTCATTCCATTGATATTTGCCTTTTACAATATTGAAAACTATCATAAAAAATAATGATAATGGTCTCAACAAAAAGAAGAGATAAAGAGATGTGCTATGGCCAAAAAATATTTGAATGGTTATTTTTTCTTCTTTTTAAAGAGAATTGGTCTTATAGATCAGAGTGAAGAAGTTTGTACTTTATTATAGGTAAATAAGATAAAATGATATATTTTTAAGTGAACAAAATTTGTCCAGATTTACAAAAAAAAGAATGTTACCTTACTCATCTGACCCATTGTGAACAATTGGACATACATTACAGATCTACTTATGTAGAATTGCTATTATATTCCATTTTATAAGTTTCCTGGTAAGATTACTCACCCCACAACAAATTACAGAAGAAAAAAAACAAAACATGATTTACCATATTTATAGAGACTGTAAAAAACAAACATTTTGATTTACTTAGCTCTTAAAAGATAAATTTTGAAACCAATTAAAAACCTAATATGCTATGTCAATTATACGAGTTACCTAAATTTAATTGTTTATCATTAAATTTAATTGTTTTATCATTTAGTTTGCATTCTCAGCTTTAATTTTAAATGAAGAAAAATATTGCATGCATAAATATTTAATGGAATAAGTCAATAACAATTTGTAAAAAAATTTGTATAAACTTGAATTCTCAAGAATGTTTCCTTGTGACATCCTTCTGAAACTGTTGAAACATTAGCAATATTTTTTTTAAATGATTAAAATGTAGACGTTTTAATACAAAACTGCAATGTCTTTAATTCAAAAGTATCATGAATTCAATATGAAACATTTTTGCAAACACATTTTTGGAGAACATTTTTATAATATACCTTTTGGTGGCTAGATAGTAATTAAAATCTAACAAAACAGGTGCATACATTTTTTTTATTGCAGGTGATCATTCTGATTTGGTCTTTCTAAGAAAATGAAGAGCATAAGACATGGTGGGGGTAAACTGAGAAACAATAAATATATCTCCTCATACAATTCATACACCAGTTGTAAATAATGAATTCAAATAATATTTTTGTAAAATACTGCATAATCTGCCCTTTTGAGAGAAAAAGATTAATGTCATTTTTTTGGGCATTATGTCCAGATCTATTCAATCAGTATTTTATTTGACCAAGCCAAGTTTGGCATAAAGTCATATTTATGAATTGCTCAGTTGAATAAAGATGTTCAAAATCTTTCAAAATAACCCTCATTTCTTACAGTTTATTTCCATTTTATTCAAGGCTGGATTAATAACTTGTTCATTTTTTTTTTTCAGCTTTGAAGTAGCAGTTTCTCTAATCTGTAAATCAATTTTTTTCTATGTCTGTAACATTTGTAAGTTTCTTTATACACAAAAGCTATATTGTTTCGCACACTTACTTTAAGAGCACCACAAATCTCGACAGTCTGGTTGTCTTCTACTACCACAATCCGGAAGTAATCTGTATGGAAGCATTCTTTTAAAAGCAATCCTGTTTCTTTATTTTTACAACCTGTTACAAAATAAAAAAAAAACATTGAAAGAGAACAGAATTAAATAAAATATTCTAAAATATTATATATATATATATATATATATATATATATATATATATATATATATATATATAAGGAAAATCAATGACACAGTGGAAAATTATTTTGTTGACGTTTTTTGTCCTTTAGGACTTCGTTGGACTAAAGTGATGTTTATATTGATGTGACTACACCTATACATAAAGAAGATGGGGAGAAACATTGAAATTTTGAATTTAGACTTTAAAATTTTGACTTAAAAATGTGTTTGGGCATATAATCATTTAGTTCTTTTTGCTTTTTGTTTGTTTTTATCACTTTTGTTATTAAGTATCCCATATTGTGATAATAGAAGTTCTGCCAAGAAAAATGAAATGTTGTAAGGGCCTGAATGCAAAGTTACTGTGGATGATCTAGGAATCACTTTCTATATACATCCATCTTAGTAAATTGCTTTCTCTTAATTAAAATAGTATTTTTTAAAATCAAAATTATGGTCAGACTTATGATGAACAAATAATACAATGAGTATGTTATTTTGTAAAAGATCCCTTGTGTTCAAACAATCTTTTATTTAAATTTCTCAAGATTTTGCCTATGTATTCTTTGTGGCAATTATTAAAAAGGTGACGGAGTAAATTTCTCCTTCAAGTCTTAGCTTATTATTTTGTTTTGTATTAAATATTTTTATTGTTTTAGATTGTTTTTAAATCTTTTCATTGTTTCTGGTATATAAAAATTTATATATCATTTTCCATATATCATTCAATATATTTTTTACTAAATCTATATCAAAATACTTATTCTGTTTTTATATAGACTGGTCAGTGATGGAGAAATTAAAATTACACCCATTTTAGTGAAAGTTAATTTGATAACAATTAACTGAAGTAACATTTAATGGAATGAAATTTACAATCAGAAATATTTTCCATGTAAATGATGGATTAAAGATATTCCACGTTTGCCATGTCAAATTAACTTTTTCATTTGTCAATTACAGTACACATTGTGGGGAGAGTTTGGATTACTCAGATTTTCTAAACTGGCTGCCATTCAAGGCTAGGGAGCTGATGAGGGAGAAGAAATGCCTTTCCCATGGGCATTTCTGTGAGAAGTGAATGCAGTAGACTAGACTGGAATTTGAACTCAGCTTCCTAACAACCATTAATGCTACCAGCACATCCACCTTTATTTAGAGTGTTTAAAATAAAGATTTTTCAGTTAAAAGTAGAATAAAGAAAAACTTTCTTTAAAAATAGCTAATATAACAGGATTTCAAACATTTTTATTAAAGAGAACCTTAAAAGGGACTAATTGCCACATTTTAACATATTCTTTTGTGAATAAAGGCAATTAGACAAGAAACAGTGGCCTGCTTTATAAAACAAGTAAAAAGTAAAAAAATGTTTAAAAAATCTAAAAGGAGCAACAGGTATAAATTTAAATAGAACAATTAGGCTTTATTAAATAGTCTTTAAATCTTCTTTAAACTTTTAACTGAACTAAAGAAAATATGAAATTAAAAAGAAAAAAAATTACATTGAATCTGTAAGATAGAGATGGCAATTTTACTATTACTGATTGTAGAGGTGGAATCGAACCTAAGACGCCCAGTTACAAGACCGGAATGGTCTTGGCGTCACACCCCCATAGAAGTAGACTCGCCCGCTTACATGAGAGGCGGCGAGTGGGCTACTTAAACAAGACATTCACGGCAACGAGTGGCTTGGCAGATACACGCCGTCTAGCTGCTTTACCTTACATGGGCGTCGCCGATATAGGGAAACCTGCTACAAACAACGTTGGAATATGGACGAACAAACACAGCAGACATTACTTCAACAGCTCATCGAGCTACAGCAAGAGATCATCGCCCTGCGAAGAGACGGAGGACAGCCGACAAAGTCACTTACAAGGAGACCCGACAGACCTAATATAGAACCGGACTCAAGTGATGGTGACTGGGCGATATTCATTGACTCCTGGAATAGATACAAGGAGATGTGTGGGTTGGACGGAGCCAACAAGCGTTAAGAAATGAGCTGAGAACGCCTGTGCCCCAGAAGTGAACAGGCTGTTGTTCGATATGGTAGGAGCAGAAGTACTAAACTCCGTCACGGAGGAACAGCTGTTACGGCACATAAAGCTCATAGCCGTCAGAAGCCTACACAAAGAAGTGTACGGCAAGAATTCCACTCCGTAAGGCAGAAGGAGGGGGAATCGATTCACGGACTTCGTGGCACGACTTGATCAGTCGCCAAAATTCTGCGACTTTTCAGTGACTTGTCCGAACAGGATAGGATGCGGTCGGAAAGTCAGCTACTCAACGATATGGTAGCAGGACAAATGGTGGCTGGGCTGGCAAGCCTGGAGCATCAAAAGCAAGGTGTTGTCTGAGGCTGCGACACTTACGACACTGGAAGAAAAAAAATTCAACAGCGGCCTCGGAGAACCAGACCGTATCAACCCCGAGAGACACTGAACCCTGTAAATGGTGTGGGAAGAGCTCACACCCTGACGGCTCAAATGAACGAAGGGGTTGCCCAGCAGTAAAGATGACTTGTCACAATTGCGGCTTAACGGACATTTAAAAAGGGGTTTGCAGGAAACCCGAAGCAGGGGTCCAGCAACAAATCTACAGCGGGTGTGGTCGGAGCAGAATCCAGAACTCTCACCACCCAAAGACACAAGAAGGGTCGTAACAGTGATCGTCCAAGATGGACAAGTGAAAAGGAGAGGTGAAATCAACCTGACAAAACCAAAGGCCGTGCCGCACCTGATTTGGAACAAAAGTAAGTTCCAAAGAGGTACTCCTGATCCAGCACCAACCCTGATGGTAGAGATAACTCTGATTCCAGAGGCCCATGCAGAATTCGGGCACATATCCATAGGACAAGCTGGCCTCCATACTCACCGGATCGAAGCGATCGCGAGACACTGGGGCACAGACGTGCTCTAGCGGACCAGAAATCCAAAAAAATTCTGAAGTGTCCAGACAAATGTCTCGTGCCGACTAGTCACCAATTCGGGAATCACGGATAACCTACTAAACATAAAAGGCGTGATATTAAGCTAAAAGTCAGAGTAGGATCGCTTGGGAAACACGTCAGATTATATATGTATCAAAAATACCAGATTTCTGCCTGTCCGAGTCGGCCCTAAAAGACCTTGGTCTGGTGCCAGATAACTTTCAGACCCAACTTCCCAGCAGAACATGGCAACTAGCGACGGCAGAAAGGCACCATGTGGGTGCCCACAAAGAACTAATGTCTCACCTAAGCCGGACAGTATCCCTTTCGCTCCTATGGAAGAAAAACAGACCCCGATTGGAACGATGGATGAAGGAGCATTTTGAGTCCAGTGCATTCAATGTATGCCCACATCAACGGCTGCAGGCGATGGAAGGAAAACCCATGGACATCACATTCATCCCGGGGCCAAACCCTCAGCTGTCCACACCCAATCCCGGTCCCACACCATTGGAAGAAAAGAGTCAAGGAGGACCTCGACCGAGACGTGGCATTGGGCATCGTGGAACCCTGTACCAGTGGGTACACCTACAACATGGTGCTCCAGAATGGTGGTTGCACCGAAAAAGGACGGGTCACCGAGGCGTCACGGTGGACCTACAGAAGCTCAACACCGCTACCCCACGAGAAACCCATCATACACCGTCTCCTTTCAATCAGGCATCGCTGGTGCCTGCGAAAACTAGAAAAACCGTTTTGGATGCATGGAATGGCTATCATAGCCTAACCCTCTCTCCATCGGCAAGAGATGCAACTACCTTCATCACGGAATGGGGTAGATACCCGTTATCTTCGGGCACCACAAAGTTCCAAGCGTCAGGAGACGCATATACACGCAGGTTCGACAATATTACTGTAGATATGCCCAGGAAAACAAGATGTATTGACGATACGATACTATGGGACAACTCTATTGAATCATCATTTTGGCATACTATGGAGTACATAAATAACTGCAGCAAAAATGGTATCGTATTCAACCCCCAGAAATTTCACTTGGCGGAAAAAGAGGTGGAATTTGCGGGTTCTTGATAACAGAAGACGGGATAAAACCCACCAAAAAAAAAATGACTGAAACAATACGAATTTCCCGACACCAAAAAATATAACTGACATAAGATCCTGGTTTGGAATGGTAAACCAGGTAGCCTCTACGCTTTTTCTCAGGCCGAGGTAATGGCTCCGTTCCGGGAGCTGCTAAAGACAAAAAATCGGAAGTTCTACTGGGACAGCACACACTCGATCGAATCTTCAAAGAGTCGAAAAGAAGGATCACAGAAGAAATCGAGAACGGTGTAAGAACCTTCGGTGAATAGGCCAACTTGTTTGTCGACGGACTTCAGCAAAACAGGCTTAGGATATTTTCTTTTCCAGAAGCACTGCAACTGTGCCACCGAAGCTGGACCGAAGTGTGGTGAGGACCACTGGAAGTTAATCCTGGCCGCTCCGATTCACTAATGACGCAGAGTCCCGATATGCACCAGTGGAAGGAGAAGCATTGGCATTAGTCTACGGACTGGAAGCATGCCGGATGTTAGTTTTTGGGTGCCCAGAGCTGTTAGTCACCGTGGACCATAAGCCCCTGGTGAAGATCTTCTCGGACAAAGCTCTGGAGGACATAAAGAACCCAAGACTGTTTAACTTCAAAGAACGGTCCTTGATGTACAAATTTCGAATAAAGCATCTCCCTGGCAAACTCAATGCGGCACCAGACTGTGGCGTTAAGCCAGGAGGAAGCAAACGAAAAGGACATCGCACAAACTATGGATAGTGCCATAAGAGCGTCATTTAACTCCACCTATGAGCAGGACCCTAAATTAAGAGCAATAACATGGGACAGGATTGTGGCTGCAGCTGCTACGGACGAGGAATGCCGTTCCCTCGCCGAATTCATACAAAATGGCTTCCCTAAATCTCGGCACGAACTGCCGGAGACAATTCGCCGG